TGACAGTCACGGAGGAGAGGAGCCTGTGAAACGCAGCTTATAACTGTATGAGAACTGTCCACCCATGATTCAGTACAATGACTTCAGTTCAGATGCCTGGGTGATGCTCTTCAAAAGAATCAGCCTACTCAAATGTATTCTTGTATCTGGTTTTGAGGAGGAGTTCATGGATATATTTTTATATTTAGTGGTCTGTGGCCTGAGAAACCAATTATTGAGGAGAAATCTACTAGATACAGTAAATCTTCATGGGTTAGAATGTCATGGAAAAGGGGAGGAAGAAAAAAAACAAACAAACACGGATGTAAAATTTTTCATCAAGTTTGCAGAATCATTGATTTCATGGTGAGGTATGAACCATGTAGCTGTACAGTACTTGTCCTGCTGAAACCAGATCAAACAGTGACTGCACAGTGAATCTCTCAATTACAAAAGTGCTCCCAAGAAGGTGTTCCTGTGTCCAGTGTTATTCGAGGGCTGACAGACTACCCTACTCTGACACTAGAGGAAGCAAGCTAAAACGTCATGGTTGCTTTAGCAAACGCTTTTGTTAAAGGGATACTCCACTTTTTTTGGAAATGAGCTCATTTTACCACTTCCCCATTAAACAGTTGGGTTTTACCGTTTTTGAATCCATTCAGCCGATTTTCTGATATTTAGAAGAATATCAGTAACCAGACTTCATTGACTTCCATGAGACCAGAAACTGTCTGGTTACTGATATTCTTCTGAATATCAGAAAATCGGCTGAATGGATTCGAAAACGGTAAAACTCAACTGTTTAACTCTGGGGGAGTGGTAAAATGAGCCTATTTCCAAAAAAAAAAAAAAAAAAAAAAAAAGTGGAGTATCCCTTTAGCCCTGCAGTTAGGGTTCAGAGTAGGTGGTGTGTTATTTTGAAATCCAAATTTTTCAGCACCACCCACCGGATATTTCATTTATGTCTGTCTTTAAGTATCCTAACAAAAAAAGAAGTTTTTGAATCAAGTTTGCTATTAGTATACTTATTTCAAACTAAATAAGAAAATATAATTTTTAAGTTCTCAAAAATACACGTTATGTACAGTATAGAAATATACTTAAAGCTTGAGTTCGAGTTCACGTCAACGCAAGATTAGCAACACATGAAATGTTCTAAACTCCCCACCACCATTATAATACTACTAGTATTGCTAAGGTTTTCAGTAATTGTTATTGCAGCACGCAGCGCATCTTGTTTAAAATTCCGATCGGCTCGAACAGAAACCTCGAACAAGACATATAACGTTAATTACTTTGACCCGTGATAGGCGATGCTAAACGGCTAACATTCAATGCCGACCGGCAGCATGAGCAAGTTGTCAAACTGATAAAAAGCCATGTAACACGTCACACTATAAAAGAATAAATAAATGTTTACTTGCTCAACAAAAAGTCATCCGTGTCAGCGTCGTTTTCAGCCCCAGATCTCCCTGAAGCTTTCTCCAACAGTCAATGAAGGACGCTATATTCATCCTACTTAGAGTCCGGCGTTCTTCACATTTATATTTAATCGCTGATCTTTCCTCCACAGACTTTCTCTTTCGTCCAAACTTTACAGTAGAGGCAAGCAGGGGCCGCTTGCTGTTGTCGTTTATATTTTTATCCATTGCTGATCTGCTACTAGCTAGCTACCATAGACAGTCTGTCAGCTGTTTGCTCACGCACGGAGGGGGGCGGGGGCGGGGGCGGGTGCGGTTGGGTTGGAGACGTGAGCTCCAGGCGGAGTTTCAAGTGGAGCTGGTGATTGGATGAGAGCAGTTGACAAATATAAGCTGTGCGGCCGCACAGCTTACATTGGTCAACTTTTCTGCGGCTGTACAGCCAATAGAGTGAATGGATTTTTTTAATTCTTTTTTCTATTCATATTGTTAGGATTGTACTATATAACCATAAACAGCATCTAAATGAGGATATTAATAATGAACAATCTTTGAAATCGTATACCCTAGCTTTAAAAGTATACTTGACGAAAGGGCCGTTACACAGCGGGATGTATATCGGCGCACGTTATTCAGCGTTTTTCTGTGTTCACACCCAAGCGATTTTCGCTGACGATGAGCCGAGTGAACATGCAAATTCATTCCCTCTGCAATACCACTCTATAACAGTTCTCTTTTAATACGATTTTTGTAGTCGCTGTTTAATTTGTCATATAGTTCTTTATGTTCTAACACCAACGAGACTAGCAGCTCTAAATTCATCTTGCCTTGCATCTTCCTCATCTTATTTCATCCTGGTTGTGTAGACGGCGACGCTACTTGGCGTATGTCTTCTTCGCCGTTAAGTATGTGTGCTCGGCAAGACCATTTTGTGTTTGAGCGCCCCCAAGTTGTGTTTTACTGTAACTTCAGAAGCTCCAAACACGTGAACAAAAGCGCCTATCTCATTGGTCGGATAGTTTTTGACATGGCGCGTCAAACAAACAAAAAAAATGAACCAGAGGCGTTTTTAAAAAAAAAAATTTAAATGATGCTTTTACATGTGCCATTTTCCGTGTCGGTGTGCACACTCACATTGGCGCATTTTGTTTAGTCACGAGGCGTTAAACGTCGGCGAATATCGCATGCGAAATTAGTCCCGGTGTGAACAGGCCTTAATACTGACAGAAACATATAAGAATATTTAGCCCGTTCTCATCCTTTAGCGTCACATAGAACGCTAGATGACAAAACGGCGCTATACTACTTACATGGCACTAGACATGTGCCGGTATTCGGTAATGCGATAAATCGCGCTAATGAATATGCACGATATTGTTATCGCGGGCTCTTCAAAATACCGTGAAAAATAATAGATTCGAATTTAGACTTTTAAAGCGCGCATTAGCTTATTTTCCATCTACCGCTCAAACACTGCGTGCTGCGCAGAACACGCGCGCACTCTGATGTAAACAATCCCCATTATGTATAAGCACTGTGTGCATGCAGCAGTGCGCACTTGTCTAATGTAAACAGTCCTCACATGGATCAAGCATGGCGGAATACTCCCGACGATTTATCCCCGCAGGGCTGCCAAACTCTCAGACATTCCGCTTTAGACTCAAGCTTGAGACTTTCAGACAGGACGCGAAATACGCGCGCGACGCGCAGGGTTGTTTTGTTGCTGCGTTGACCTGCATCGACCACGCCGGTGTTAAAGTTCAAAATAGTTCAACTTTTTATTTGTAAAATGGCAAATCGCGTTGTATCTGAAGGGCAACGTTGAACCAAGCGGCCGCAGCGTCGCGCATTCCGCGTCCTGTCTGAAAGGCGCTTAACGCAGTTGACACTTTTCACACGCTCTCCCACAGAGAAAAATCACAGGGCAAAGAGGACACTGACACCGACAGACTAGACAGAGCAGGTTACTTTTGATATGAAAGTTGTTATTGATAAATTGAAGTTGATAAATCAGCTCTTCTGATCACAGATCGTTGCTCCTCAGTTCAAGTAAACCGATCATCATGTTACTTTCGTTTTTATTTAAAGATACAGTATAGCCTAACTTACCGAAAGGTATACTTGTACATAATAACGATCAATCAGTGTTTTCAAACATGGAAAGAGGTCAGTAACACTGCAGGAGAACAGTTGTGTCACAAAACGTTACATTTACCTCAGGAAAGCCATTTAATGACCAGCACATTAGTTGACTAGAAAAAAATATCAAGGAGTATTTTGCTAAATATTATATTTAATTTCTCTCTGTTATGTTTACAGCATTATGTGAGGTTTTTTCTGAGAAACATTAACAGACTGAGGCCTGCCTAATATTTATCCAAATGAGTCAAATATTGAATTAAGACTGAAATCAAATCCAAAAATTTAATTGAATAATACAAACAGTAACCCAACAGTCATTGTAACATGTTGTCACTAAACTTTAAACAATTTGGTTTAGTTACCATATGTTTCGAAAATCACAATTACACATTGTGATACAAGTTGAGGTTTTTTTTAGAGACCCACAATGCATCTGTTTTTCTTGAGCATTAAAATATAATTCATTAAAATATAAATATAAAATAAAATAAAATATATAGTGATAATACCGTATACCGTGATAAAAGCTCATCAATTAACCGCAGCATGAAAATTTGATACCGGCACATGCCTACGGCCTACGGACACAGAGTCCGTCTGCTGCAGAGAATTTCAATGATGGCAATTTCTCCTGGAGGAAATCTCTGAATCAGACGAGCACACGGACGTTTGTGTTGTGATAGTTTCGCCTTCAGAACATCCAGGTATCATGCAGTAATTCACCAAGCAGAAATAAATACAAACGCGGAGTAATTCACTAATGCGTTTACAAATGTAACGTGAACAGGTTGTTGTGGGAAGAAAGAGACATGAACCGGCGAACATTTTAAACATTTTAATAGTAAAATGAACAAATACAAAACAAAAGTAAGCCAGCGTTACACACAACAGAAACAAATAAACATAAAATCAGGCCTGTTTTCTCTTCGATCTGCCGTCGTCGCTCCCCATTTTATGCATTCGCTCCTTCGTGAGAGACGCACTGGCGCGCGCCTTACACATGTCTTTCATTATCACTCACGCCACCGGCCTCGCGCAGCGCGCCGTCCTCTTACATCCCTCACCCTCGATCGTCCTGCTCGCCACAGCCAACTAACTAGACTGGTGACAGCTAACGTTAATGTTAGCGCTGTAGACGGAAGAGTGTGTTTGCGTCTCTTTTTTGCGCTGTTCCGGTGGGTGGGTGGGTGGGTGGGTTAGTGGGCGTGGCTTGCGGAGCTGTGCAATGTTGGCGCATTCTGGGAACTGTAGTTTTTTAACACAAAGGCGCCCCTTGGTTATTTTCTGTCTTTTCTCGGTCAAGAGGGCACCAAATTAAAAAATTATTTTACATTTCGACTACATATATGATCCACTTTCAATGAAGATTAATGTTGCAATGGGTAAAATGCTCCTTTAAATTTGTATCAGAAATGAAACTCTGTATTGTGTGTGTGTGTGTGTGTGTGTCTGTCTCAGTCTGCGAGAGCGTTCGCTGGAGGAAGAAGCCGTTCCTCTGACCGGTCGACACTTGCTGGAGTTCCAGAGTTCTCAGGAGTCGATCGATCGGGAACACGGAGCGAGAAGAGGAGCTGGAGAAGGAGAGTGTACTCGTATCCGTTCAGGTGAGACTCTCTCTCACACACACACACACACACACACACACTCACTCACTCACTCACACACACACTCACTCACTCACTCACTCAGGGTTTCCGCGGAGTCATAACAAGTCATAAACATCTTAAATGTAATAAGAATTGTATTACATCACACACACTCAAGCCCTGTTCACACTACACGCGACTTTGTCGCTGCAGGTCGCCAGTGGCTGTGCTGAAGGGCGTTCCCCACTACTGGTTGCCTAGTAATGTTTGTGAGTGACATTCACGGATGTTACTCTATGTTAGATAACAAATGCATTTTATTGCCTCTACAAACAAATATTTTGAAAGGAAAAGTCTAAATATAAATGGAATCAGTACATAAAATGCATAATATTAAAGATGAACGAGAAACAGTGAGTGCTCTTTGCCATCGTGGCTATTTAACTGCTGCACACGTGCAAATACCGGTCTATCTGGGTTCCCAAAACCATTCAGTCACGGAGTCAGTATGGTGAACACCACTGTATGTACGCGGAGATATATCATACATTATAGGACAGTTTCTGACTGCTAAAATGAGCTTCTCGTTCAACTTGCCTCGGTCAGATTCAGCACTGAAGAGTGACGCGCTCCACTGACTTCACTCCTAATGGTTGTCGCTCGCGAAAATCGCTCTTCATTTGCATAAAGTTAAAAATTTCTCAACTTTGTCACGTCGCTGGACACGCCCCCTTGGTCGCCAACGGTCGCAACCGTGCGTGTCACTGGAAGTCGCCCGCTCACCATTGAAAATGAATGGTTTCGTGTCGCTTGGTCGCATGTAGTGTGAACGGGGCTTCACACTCACTCACTCTCTCTCACACACACACACACACACACACATATTCACACTTACTCACTCGCTCACATACACACTCACACTCACACACACACACACTCACTCACACAGACAGACAGACACAGACACACTCACACACTCTCTCTCTCACACATATACACACCTGAGGTCATCGTGTTAGTGTGTGTGTTCTGTGTTCAGGAATGAGAGCGACGTGTTCAGTGTTCTGCAGGACATCGACCGGTACTTCTCCTCTCCGGACTGCAGACAGTTCAACCGCTCCGAGTCGCTCAGGTCAGTGTGTGTGTGTGTGTTGTGTGTGTGTGTGTTTGTGTTTCTGAGTCTCTTAGGTCTGTGTGTGTGTGTGTGTTTGTGTTTCTGAGTCGCTTAGGTCAGTGTAAGAACATTACTGATTCACTCTCGTGTGATCCTCATGTTTGTTTGAGTGTTTGCTTGACTCTTGTGTGATCCTCATGTTTGTTCGAGCGTTTGCTTGACTCTCGTGTGATCCTCATGTTTGTTCAAGTGTTTGCTTATGTTAGGCGTTAACAGTTTAAGGACCCAGAACCAGATATGAAGAATAAAGATCCAGAGTCAGAATTATAAAAATTAAAGAAAAGTTTACTGAACATAGTTTTCAGTTTCATCAGCAGAAGTTGGCTTCAAGACTCACACAGGAGTTCGTAGGCTGCCCCCTTCCAGTTACAACAATCACAGCAGTTATACCATTTTCAAGGTCTAAGCTACGTCATTGCTTACACGTTGAATGATTCTCATTGGCTAAGAAATAGATAAACACAGTAATTTTCCACACATATGCACACATTTTCCACACATGTATATGACATTCAGAGGGACGTCATGACCTTCCAGGTCACAGATTTGGGTTGCTGGCACCAGTATGTCCAGAACGACAACTCATTCAACCTCCAATAATGGCAGTGGTTCCTTAACCTGCAACCAAGAAGACTAGCACTAAACTTTAGTCTAACTGGAGTAAGACTTTAACAAAGAAATGGTGCCTTAAACTGTTGGCTTCAATGACCCCTTTATGTTTTAACACTCAAATATAAACCAAAATCCCTATTTCTCTATTATTTTCACTGTTACCGCATTCACATAGGACACTAGCAAATAAGTGCTCCTATCAAGGCTGAAGAGAGTCTGAGCGGCTTATTATCAGTTAAGTGTACCAAAACATAATGGTAAAACATTCACTCGTTTGGGAGAAAAACAGATAACATTTGAAGAGCTCTTTTCCAAAACGCGTTAAACGACATTTTAAAAAAAAATGAGTTTGTCGTGTCATTCTGCTGTGGACAGAACCCTTTCACTGCTCTATCAACGTTTCATGCCGAATCGCTATATTTCCTTGTTTAAAATGTACTGCAAGATACAGTTTCTTTCCAAACCACGATAAGCGCCAGCCCTGTTTTTAGCCTAAACACGATAAATCCTCAAATTCAATGAGCGCTCTACACAATCCAGCACGGCTGCACTCTGAACAGAGGTTTATTATGTTCATTCATTCCTCAAAATGAGTCCTAGTTTTCTAGTCGACTAGTAGTAGATCATTTAAGCCATTTGTATTATCAGTAATCACATATATTGATTTAATTAAATGGGAGAGAAACCATATGAGCGTTTTTAATTGCCTATTCCGCATTTCAACGTATGCATAAAGCTTGCCACAAAGAACCGGAAAAAGTAATGATTATGCATGAAACATTTGAATTGTTTATTAATAAACTAGTGTTTTCTGTCAGTGTCAGCAACAAAGATAAAGTTGATGATGCTTACTCGCCATCTTCGCAGTGAACGCGCATAGGCATAGAGAAACGCATACTTCGAATTAGCCTGCATACGCAGAGAGTTGCCAATTTATTTTAGTTTTTAATTGTTTTGTTTAAAAGTAGATATTTAAAGCTTTCTGTAGCTTAGTTCTCAGGCCTGTGTGAGGCAAGCATCGCGGTGTTTCGGTTCATATTATGAGACGCGCTCCGGTTCACCTGCGCGCCTCTGTGTCCTGATTATATTGTCTGATATTTACTTCTAATGTATTAATCCAGTCAATTTGTCGATGAAACATTTATTAAAATGAAGATACAATTTATATGAAACGAAATTTACAAGCTTTCTACAAAACAAAACTTAATAAGTGGTCCAAATCATGTCTGACGCACTCCAAATATTTTCCGATATTGGGCAGCTTTTGAATTTTGATCCTATCTTACTCATCTCATGCGGTTCCCTTTTCATAGCCTACTCAACATAGATGAAATAATAAAAATAAGTAATGTAATATTATTAAAAACAAATGTGAAATGTTTATTTATTTTTTTTTTTTTTTTAACTTATATTTAATCGTCATGCTGCTCCGCTTTGCTCACATGTTATGTAGCCTGTGTGTGTGTGTGCATGTGCTGGAGGGGTGCCCATCCCTTTTTTGAATATCGTTATCATATATTGATCATTTTTAATAATTCGTTTTTTTTCATGCATATGTTGAAATTGGTATTAATAATTTGTTTTTTTCATGCATATGTTGAAATTGGTACTATTTGTTTGAGGTTTATTTCGATTTATAGCGTTTTGGAAAAAATAAAATTAACTTTTAAATTATCATTAACAATATTGTTGTTTGATTTAATAATTATTGTTCAAAATGTTCAGACTGAACCAATAAAACATTTAAACAGGATAATTTGAATATTCACAAAATGTGTGGGTCTAGGTAAAAAATGTAGTTTTCCTGAAAACTATTGAAATGGATTTATAGCGTTTTGGAAAAGAGCTCTTCATTTGCTTCCCAGAGAGCAAATATAATAGAAAGAATACAATACAACAATTAAAGTTCAATATAGCAATGCTCAATATAGCTTGACCATCTGTACAGAGAAGTATCATATGTGTTGGACATATGTGTTCACGACGCCTTTAGGATCCATAAACCTTTCTCCTGAGACCAGAGAAAGAGACAAATGGCCTTGTGCACCTAAAAGAAGCTGGTGACTTACATCAGCATGCATTTAAGAATATTATTTCACAAGCAAAAGCACAAAGAATAAATGTATATGTTGATAAATGATTAAGTAATAATGAATATACTTAATTATTGATTTTATAAAAGAAAAACATAAGCATTCAAAAGGATATATGATATATGCTGAAGAGGCAAGGGATTTTGACCACCCCTTCACTTGACTCCTGTGTGATCCTCATGTTTGTTCGAGTGTTTGCTCGACTCTCGTGTGATCCTCATGTTCGTTCAAGTGTTTGCTCGACTCTCGTGTGATCTTCATGTTTGTTTGAGTGTTTGCTTGACTCCCGTGTGATCCTCATGTTTGTTCGAGTGTTTGCTCGACTCTCGTGTGATCCTCATGTTCGTTCAAGTGTTTGCTTGACTCTTGTGTGATCTTCATGTTTGTTTGAGTGTTTGCTTGACTCCCGTGTGATCCTCATGTTCGTTCGAGTGTTTGCTCGACTCTCGTGTGATCTTCATGTTTGTTCGAGTGTTTGCTTGACTCCCGTGTGATCCTCAGGCTGGCGGATGAGCTGCGCGGATGGGTGAACCGACACCAGAACAACCGGAAGTCTGATGGAAAGACCAAAGCAGTGAAGAAGACTAAAATAGCTCAGGTGTGAAACCACACACCTCGTATCGCGGCGGATATGTGTCGCACTGTGAGAACAGCTTGTGTTGCAGGATTTATACAGTCAAACCAACATTCACTCAGACACCTTCGACATTTCTCACATTATTACAGTTTATTCACAACAGTTTATAAACATGAGCAGAAGTCATTTCTCAGATCAGTGGATAATTGACTGGTTTTGTCCGTCCTCTGTTAGACTCTCACATATGAGTTATGTTGAATATCTGTCAGCTGTTAAATTTAACTACACAGTTAGATAATACCAGTTTAGCTCAACCACTGACCAAGCAATGCTTCATGTTGTTCAGTGTGTGTGTGTGTGTGTGTGTGTGTGTAAAAGAGCATTAGCAATTACAGAAAACACACTTCAGCTCAAAGTGGAGGAATCATTATTGGTCTCAGATGTTCACAGTTAACTTTATATTCAGTACCTCCAGAAAAACGCGATTATGCGATCGCTGAATTCAATGCAAAATCAGCCAAAGTCCGCATATTTATGCGGGGGCCGCATTTTTTCAAATACGCCTCACTTTCGCCGCATAAATTGCCGATTTCCGTGCAAAATATGCGGGGTTTGCATAATTTCATAATCCTCGCATTTTCGTTGCAAAAAAAGTCACATGTATCTTAGCAGAAAGTTGAAAAATGTTGCGTTTGCTTCACATAAGAGCAGCCATTTCCCCCTGTTTCCATAGGAACGTTATGAAGTGACGCAATTACGCGACGCCAGACAGACTCACGGAGGCGATTGACATCTCACAAATCGAACTCGTATATCTGTCTGTCGAACGTTCTACTGTCACATTGTTACTTAATAAACAACATAAGATAAAATTAGTAGCATCAAACAGAAATTACCCGCACACATGGGGTGTTCGACAGTTCAACAGGGAGCGCGCAGCTCTTAAAGGGGCCACACCTTATTTACACTCTTACAGTCTGAAATAAAACAAGATGAGAAATTAAATATCCCAGCACTTTCTATGATGTAGTATGCTTGTTTATCAAAGGAAGTAATAAGAAATGACTCTTATATTAACAGGATGTTGGGGGAGTCACTTTTGTTCTCTTTTTCATCAAACTGCAATTTTTGCAAGTTCAGTCAATTTTTGTAAATTCCAGCAATTTCATCGCATAAAATTGCATAAATATCCCACATATTCCATCGCATTTTTAAAGAAAACTGGCCGCATAATCAATCAATTTTTGCCCGCAACAATCACACAAAAAAAAACTCCGTGTTTTTCTGGAAGGACTGAATACTATTATGGTAAATGTTAAATATAAATCGCAAATTTTTTTCACAAATTTTTGGAAATTACCACCACAAAATCAGTCATTTTGATCGCAAAAATCACAAAAAAAAATCGTGAAATCCTGGAGGGACTGTATATTGCTCTCCTCGCTTTCATAAATGAACTATAGTGTCCTGCACACACTAGTGGAAACAGTATCAAAAATTATATCTGGTGTCTGAATAATCTTTGGTGTGTGTTCTTTCCCTTCATCAGCAGAAAGCTCAGCACAGAAAGACTAACTTCTCCAGGTACCTTCCAATCCAGGCTCATCGGTCCATCGAAAGGTAACTTTATTTCCCAGCAGCCTCTGAGCAAAGCAGGTCATGTGACATGTGATCTGATGATGTGTCAGTCAGCTGTCATGTGACCTGATGATGTGTGTGTCAGTCAGCTGCAGGTTCTGCCGGGGCCGGAGATCAGTTACAGCGACTTCATGGATGCCATCGACCGGCGCGAGGACACCTTCTACGTTGTGTCTTTCAGACGGGTGAGACTACACGCACACTCACACACACACACACACAAACTCTCTCTCTCTCTCTCTCTCTCTCTCTCTCTCTCTCTCTCTCTCTCTCTCTCTCTCGCGTGCTTTCTCTCTCTCTCACACACACACACACACACTCCACTCACTCTCTCTCTCTCTCTCTCTCTCTCTCACACACACACACACATTCTCTTGTCTGGTTTGCCATTTTTGTGGGGACTCTCCATAGACGTAATGGCTTTTATACTGTAATAACTGTATATTCTGTCTCCTTACACTAACCCTACCCATCACATACACTCACACACACTCTCACACACATGCTCACATCATCCTTGGCTTTTGCAGGATCACCTGCTGTTACCCGCCATCAGCCACAATAAAACCTCTCGACCCAAGATGTCTCTGGTCATGCCTGCCATGGCCATCAACGGTGAGTTCAGATCATTTACTCGCCTTTAAAAAACTCTCGATTCTGTGAGACAATTGGCTTTATGCACAGCTTCACTACTTCCTGAATTTCAGCCAGCTCCTTGTTTCATGTCTGCCATTATTGGACACATTGATTAATTCAGGTGTGCTTGACCTCAGTAGTCATGGCAACAATAATCAGACACACCTGAATTAATCAATTTTGCCCAATAATGGCAGACAGGAAACAAGGAGCTGGCTGAAGTTCAGGAAGTAGTGCAGCTGTGCATAAAGCCCATTGAAGATATTGTGAAAAATGTCTCATCGTTTTTCCCATAAATTGAATGTCCGTGTTTTTGAGTAAATGATGACTGTTTGTTTTTGTGTGTATGGTCCCTTTAAACCCTTTAAATTGTTCGCAGCCAGGGCCTAAAGATGACTTCAAAATGATTTAAAATATATACACACACACACACACACACACACACCTTATGGGGATTTATTCTGAGATAACACACACACACACACACACACCTGAAGGGGGTTTATTCTGAGATAACACACACACACACACACACAGCTGGAGGGGTTTATTCTGAGATAAAACACACACACACCTGAAGGGAGTTTATTCTGAGAACACACACACACACACACCTAAAGGGGGTACGAGATATTGATTTCAGATTAAACTGCTTTAAAATTGTTATGCAAAGCAAGCAAGCAAATTGTATTTATATAGCACTTTTCCAAACAAATGAATGTAGTTCAAAGTGCTTTACAGGCAAAACAATTAAAAGCAAGTACAGAATACAGGTAAATAACAATAAAAATTACAAACCCGATTCCAAAAAAGTTGGGACACTGTACAAATTTTGAGTAAAAAAAGAATGGAATGATTTAGAAATCTCATAAACTTATATTTTATTCACAATAGAATATAAATGACATATCAAATGTTGAAAGTGAGACATTTTGAATTGCCATGCCAAATATTGTCTCCTTTTGGATTTCATGAGAGCTACAAATTCCAAAAAAGTTGGGACAGGTAGCAATAAGAGGCCAGAAAAGTTAAATGTACATATAAGGAACAGCTGGAGGACCAATTTGCAACTTATTAGGTCAATTGGCAACATGATTGGGTATAAAAAGAGCCTCTCAGAGTGGCAGTGTCTCTCAGAAGTCAAGATGGGCAGAGGATCACCAATTCCCCCAATGCTGAGGCAAAAAATAGTGGAGCAATATCAGAAAGGAGTTTCTCAGAGAAAAATTGCAAAGAGTTTGAAGTTATCATCATCAACAGTGCATAATATCATCCAAAGATTCAGAGAATCTGGAACAATCTCTGTGCATAAGGGTCAAGGCCGGAAACCCATACTGAATGCCTGTGATCTTCGGGCCCTTAGACGGCACTGCATCACACACAGGAATGCTACTGTAATGGAAATCACAACATGGGCTCAAGAATACTTCCAGAAAACATTGTCAGTGAACACAATCCACCGTGCCATTCACCGTTGCCGGCTAAAACTCTATAGGTCAAAAAAGAAGCCATATCTAAACGGGAACCAGAAGCGCAGGCGTTTTCTCTGGGCCAAGGCTCATTTAAAGTGGACTCTAGCAAAGTGGAAAACTGTTCTGTGGTCAGACGAATCAAAATTTGAAGTTCTTTTCGGAAAACTGGGACGCCATGTCATCCGGACTAAAGAGGACAAGGACAACCCAAGTTGTTATCAGCGCTCAGTTCAGAAGCCTGCATCTCTGATGGTATGGGGTTGCATGAGTGCGTGTGGCATGGGCAGCTTACACATCTAGAAAGGCACCATCAATGCTGAAAGTTATATCCAAGTTCTAGAACAACATATGCTCCCATCCATACATCGTGTCTTTCAGGGAAGACCTTGTATTTTCCAACAAGACAATGCCAAACCACATACTGCATCAATTAAAACATCATGGCTGCGTAGAAGAAGGATCCGGGTACTGAAATGGCCAGCCTGCAGTCCAGATCTTTCACCCATAGAAAACATTTGGCGCATCATAAAGAGGAAGATGCAACAAAGAAGACCTAAGACAGCTGAGCAGCTAGAAGCCTTTATTAGACAAGAATGGGACAACATTCCTATTCCTAAACTTGAGCAACTTGTCTCCTCAGTCCCCAGACGTTTGCAGACTGTTATTAAAAGAAGAGGGGATGCCACACAGTGGTAAAAATGGCCTTGTCCCAACTTTTTTGAGATGTGTTGATGCCATGAAATTTAAAATCAACTTATTTTTCCCTTAAAATTATGCATTTTCTCAATTTAAACATTTGATATGTCATCTATGTTGTATTCTAAATATAATATTGAAATTTGAAACTTCCATATCATTGCATTCTGTTTTTATTCACAATTTGTACAGTGTCCCAACTTTTATGGAATTAGGTTTGTAATAAAAATACATACATACATACTGTACATATGAAGGATTTATTAGAATAAAATAAAAATTCAATTAGAAACTTTGTAGAATAGTGTAGGAAAGCCAGACTAAAAAGATGCGTTTTTAATATTTTCCGCACGTCTTACTTCTTCTGGAAGATTATTCCAGAGACGAGGAGCGTAGCGACTAAAAGCAGCATCTCCAAATCTTTTTCTTTTACTATGTGGTACTGTTAAGAGTAAAGAATTGGATGAACTGAGGGCCCTTACAGGTTCATAGACTGTAAGCAATTTTAAGAGATAGTCTGGAGCAATTCCATGCAATGCTTTATAAACTAATAAAAGGTTTTTAAAATCAACACGAAAACTAAGGAAGCCAATGTAGTGATTTTAGTATAGGTGTAATGTGTTCTCTCTTCTTGGTCTTAGTCAATACACGAGCAGCCGAGTTTTGTATTAATTGTAGTAGATTAATTGTAGTTTTTGGTAGACCAGAGAGGACAGCATTACAATAGTCAAGCCTGCTAGTCATAAATGTATGCATTAATTTTTCGGTATTGCACAGAGAGAGAAATGGTCCAATTCTAGCAATGTTCTTTAAATGATAAAATGCTATATTAGTAACATTGCATACATGCGTTTTAAAATTAAAATCAAAGACAACGCCTAACTTTTTTGCCACTTTACTTGGGTTTAATCCCAGGATATTTAGTTTAGGTATTAATTTTTCTATCTGTTCTTTTGATCCAATTATCAAAACTTCTGTTTTATCTTTATTTAGTTTTAAGAAATTTTGCGACATCCAATCATTTATGTCTTGAATGCAATTTGCAAGTGAATCAATTTGCTCTGCAGTGTCATCTGGAGATACGGCTACACATAACTGTGTATCATCAGAATAACTATGAAAAGAGATATTATGTCTCGTAATGATATGGCCCAGAGGTAACATATATAGATTAAAAAGTAGTGGTCCTAAAATTGATCCCTGAGGAACTCCACAAAGTACCTCATAATGTTCAGACATGCTATTATTGATAGAGACAACAGATCTTCCACCACTAAGATATGATACAATTTAAAACGGTTTCAGACAGGCCAACAAACTCGCGTAGTCTATTCAATAGAATCTGGTGATCCACTGTATCAAATGCAGCGCTCAAGTCCAGCAACACCAGAACTGAAGGCCAATTTCTATCTAAGTTTATTCTTATGTCATTTTCTACTTTTACAAGAGCGGTCTCTGTGCCCCGACTGAAACATCTCTAATTTTGAATGTGTATTTAAGAAAATACTTAACTGATTAAAAACAATTTTCTCTAATATTTTACTCAAAAATGGAAGATTTAAGATGGGTCTATAGTTACTAGGTCTTAAAGTATCTGAATTCACTTTTTTGTTTTTTTTTTGTAAAGGTTTCACTAGGGCCAATTTAAGATCACACGGGAAAATGCCAAGCTGTAGAGAGTGATTTACTATCTCAAGGAGATCATTAGATACTACATTAAAGATAGATTTAATAGGAATTGGATCAAGTGAACAGGTGGATGGTTTTAGTTCCTTTACTACCTTTCTTAGGGTCTCAACATCAAACAAAGTAAACCTTTCCATTTGGAAAGTATTGAATTCGCTAGGTAGAGGAGGAGGCATCTTGTTTTTATTTTTATTTGCCAAGCTGATTCCTGATCTAATATTTATAACTTTATCTCTGAAGTAGCCAGCAAGCTCTTCACATTTGGAGCTTGTTAACACAGAACCGCAATCAATTTTGTGATTTATTAGTGAATCTATGGTACTAATTAAGAATCATGGGTTATTAATATTTTCATTTATAAGGTTTGAGAAGTAAGCTTGCCGTAATTTTTTTAACTTCTTTGTTGTAATTTTTAAGATTTTCAGTGAGTATATTAAAATGTATTTCTAATTTAGTTTTTCGCCATGTTCGTTCAGCACTTCTACATTTTCTTTTAATTTTCATGGTCAAATCTGTCTTCCAAGGAATGACCTTTTTATTCGTTTTTTTGTTTGTTTTAAGTTGAGCAACAACATCAAGTGCTGTTTTTAATTTATTATTAAGCTCATCAACTAGGACATCACAAGATGATGGTAAAATATCCTTTTCGTAAGTCATATAATGCATTGTAAACTTTTCTGCTACTTCCGTGGAAATAAAACGTTTTTTAACAATACGTTCAGTTGTATAAGGCATAGAAAGATCAGTACTATTAAAGAAAACACAAAAAAATGATCGGATAATGCAAGATCGACAACAGAAGTTATATTGATATTTAATCCAAATGCTATTACTAAATCCAATATGTGACCATGTTTATGGGTCGGTATGTTTACATGCTCTTTAAACGACATACATTCTAGCAGTTCCAAGAATTCATTTGCTCTGATATCTGTAAAATTATCAACATGTATATTAAAATACCCAGTTAAAACACAGTTGTCTTAATTCATATGAATAACAGATAACATGTCAGAGAAATCCTTTATGAAGGGAGATATAGGTAATTTGGGGGATCTGTATAGTGTCACTGCAAGAAGACGTGGCTGGAAGTTTAAAAGAATAGCATGATATTGAAAGGTAGTAAATGTACCAAGGTATATGTCCCTTCCCTTTAGGGTTTCTCTGTAGATTGCTGCAGTTCCTCCGCCTCTTTTCCCATTTCTAGTAGAAAAAGAATAAGTAAAATCAGGAGGACAGGTCTCAATCAATGTGGCCGGTGCATCTGTCCTAAGCCATGTCTCAGTAAGAAACAGACAGTCACGGTTATAATCAATAATGAGGTCATGAATACAAATTGATTTGTTTGTTAATGCCCTTACATTAAAAAGAGCCATGTTAATTTCTGTTTGTTTTGTTTCCATAAGTGATAATATGCTGGAAGTCGGAATTTTCAGTAAATTGTTCATGTTTATTCCCACTGTGTTTGTCTTAGCAGTAGTGTGACGAACTGATATAATAGGTTTTATAGGATTAACAGTAACATATTGGCTAGGTAGTCACATTAAAATATGTTGTTCGAAATGATGTGCAAGCATCTGAGCGCCCCTATGATTTGGGTGCAGGCCATCCCACCTAAAAAGCGCTGGACGGCCCCAGAACAAATCAAAGTTATCTATAAAAGTTACATTAAAATTTTCACATGTCGTTTTTAACCATCTGGGTATAATATACCGCTGGATGGAGCGATTGACCAATCAGAATCAAGTATTCCATAGAGCCGTGTAATAAGACAAAATATACCATGTTTAATTTCTTCTCTCTCTCTCTCTCTCTCTCTCTCTCTCTCTCTCTCTCTCTCTCTCGTATGTATGGTGTTGTCGTCTGCAGATTCGGTGTATAACTCGTCAAAAGGCGGCTATGAGATGATGATGCAGGTGGACTGTGAGGTGATGGACACCAGGATCATCCCAATCAAGTCCTCTGTAGTACCGCCCTCTCTCAGAGACCCGCCCCCGGCCCCACCCCCTCACCACCATCACCACGGCAACCACACGTCTCTCCGCAGCCGCACCCAGCAACCGCACGGCAGGCGGAGGGGATCGGGATACTTGATCAGCGGATCCGTGTGAGACTCGACGTTCCCACATCAGACTCGTCATTCCCGCATTAGACTCAACGTTCCCCGCGTCAGACTCGACGTTCCCGCATCAGACTCAACGTTCCCCGCATCAGACTCAACGTTCTCCGCTTTCAGACTCGACGTTGCCGCATCACACTCGGCGTTCCTGCATCAGACTCGTCATTCCCGCATCAGACTCGAAGTTCCCACATCAGACTCGTCATTCCTGCATCAGACTCGATGTTTCCTGCGTCAGACTCGACGTTCCCGCGTCAGACTCGACGTTCCCGCGTTAGACTAGACGTTCCCGCGTCAGACTCGTCGTTCCCGAGTCAGACTCGTCATTTCCGCCTCAGACTCGATGTTCCCACATCAGACTCGTCATTCCCGCAGCAGACTCGATGTTCCAGCGCCAGACTTGTCATTCCCGCATCAGACTCGATGTTCCCACATCAGACTCATCATTCCCGCGCCAGACTTGACGTTCCCCGCGTCAGACTCATCATTCCCGCATCAGACTCGATGTTCCCACATCAGACTCGTCATTCCCGCTCCAGACTCGACGTTCCCGCGTCAGACTCATCATTCCCGCATCAGACTCGATGTTCCCCGCATGAGACTCGCCGTTCCCCCGCCAGACTCGACGTTCCCCACGTCAGACTCGTCATTCCCGCATCAGACTCGACGTTCCCGCGTCAGACTCGACGTTCCCACATCAGACGCAACGTTGCCCCGTCAGACTCAACGTTCCCGCTTCTCTTCTCCTTCTTGTTTGAGTTCCTGTATGCAGTGCATCACCTGCTGTCTTTTTATACGTGTTTTTTTTTTTTTGTTTTTGTTTTTTTTACAGATTTTTATTAAGATTATTTAAAAAATAATGTGCTTCTTCTAGAGGTGTGTGATATAAATATTTGAGTATGAGAAATAATCCGTCACAGTCACTTGTGTCAATATGTATGTTCTCTCATGGTGACTTTTTCAGGACCTTTGCTGAATATTTTGTCCATTCTCGTTGTTTCTGACTCTAAACCTGATGACAAAGCTTGTAGTAGTTGATGTCAATAATATCAGATTTTAGGATAATACAGAATCTTCTGCCTTGTTTTCATTTGCAGACATGCTTCTGCTTTTGCTCCTAACCACTACCATGATCCAGTAATACCTGTAATATTTCAGCCTGTGCTGCTGCTGAGATCATGATTCATTTCACAGAAGTTATTGTTGGAAAGACTTGAAAATCCAACATGGATCTGTTTACCAATCAAAATGATTTATTCGTGAATGAGTTTGATTGACAGGTGCAGGGAGAGTTCGTTTTTCGATCCACCAGCAGTCCAATGGTTAATCTCTCTCTCTCTCTCTCTCTCTCTCTCTCTCTCTCTCTCTCTCTCTGTTAAACTCTCTCTCTCTGTGTTAAACTCTCTCTGTTCACTGTTTGTTCACTAAGTAAAGGGAACAGAGCGTGAGGTGCGATGTACATTTTCTTTCTGTGAATTTGTTTATCTTCTTATCGAAGGTATTTTTTCTTGTTTGATCTTCGTCTGATCTTCATGGCTTCTTTTCATGTGTATCTCAATTCATCTTAGGATGATGATTTATATGTCAGAAACTTTCCCATCATGCACTGCTCTAGCATGCTTCGGTTATCTGTGAAGGAAGGATGATTTGTGTAAATTTAAATCTGCTTTTTTACTTTTTTATTTAAATGAGCTTTCACAAGGAAAACGCTGTACATTTTCTCTCCTGTCTGTATGAGAGTTTTAAACTACTGTCTTCATTTGTAGAGGAGAAAATAAATTTGATAAATACTAAGTTATGGTGTTGTGAGTATGAGCAGATTTCATATATAATCAGAAATTATCTGACTCTGTAGTTTCATGTGTCATTAGCTTTTATTCCTATATTAGATTTCATGCTAATTTTAGTTTCATTTTTAGTCATTTCGTAATGTGCTTTTGTCTTTCTTTTTTTTAAATAAATAAATAAACAAATAGCAATAATTTATTTCAGTTTTACTTTGTTCTTATTTATTTGCAAAAAAAATTATTACTGATTCAAATTCAACTTATTTCAATTTATTGCCAAGGCAACATGTCTCATTTTCGTTTAGTTTTAAAGATACACTTACGTAAATGTTTTATTTAAAGCTGCGGTAGTTTTTCCTCCTTTTCGCCATCTCTCTTTGAAATCTGCCATTGCAGTTATTGGCGTAATGGTCAGCTTTACGTGGGTTGTGCCTCGGCGCAGATGAACACAATGTTTTGATCCACCGGTGTGGATACTGACATTCGCAATCACAGTTTGAGATTCTACTTTTTGGAAGTATGAGCAACATAAGAACTTTCACCAGAAAATGTCCTCTGAACAAGCAACATCCACTTTGAAATGAATTGAATTGCACAAAAAAAACATTACAGTAAATCTTGTTGATTAAATCTAAAGATTGCATATCATATCACGTCAATTGTTAATGTTAACAATGCCAGCATTGTGACATCTAACGGGATGGTTTTCGCTGTAAGTTGCGCACGTGTCACTGACCCGTGTGTGTCTCGTCATATCCGTGAATTAAGTTGCTCCATTTTGTGTGTGTGTTAGACATGGAGTCTCTAAATCTCCAGTTTCCGAAGAATACACCATTTATTTTCTGAGAATTGACCTACAAACACTGGAGAGGAGAGCAGGGTAGAGTCTGTCGGAGAACAGAGGACAAGTATCAACATCAGCTCGTCTTCAGGAGAGAACTGATGGATTGGAGGATGGAGTGATGCAGAGGATGGAGTAATGCAGAAGGTGGAGTGATGGAGTGATGCAGATGATGGAGTGATGCAGAGGGTGGATATAAATATAATTTATGTACCGTAATTGTTCCAAAACCCCACCTTATGAACATTGTTCGGTCAAAGATATCAGGAGTTTCTCTCTTTACTCAGATAATGTCAGATTTCTCTGTGTTCTGCTTGATTTGGTGATTTTTGTTGCTGATCAGTAGAAATATCTGTAAACCCTAATGTTGTCTTTACTTAAACAATCAAGTGTACTTGACTAAACATTACTTAAAATTTTGCATTTTGGCCCTGTCACTCAAAAATATAAGTTCAAATAACTTATTCACCTTCAAAATACGAAAACTTGAGATTTCAAGTGCTGTGAACTCAAAATACTGATTAAACCTTACAAAAGGTAATTTTCAAAAATGTCTTAACTGTGAAATTATGATACATTCATTCATGCTTTCTTCAAGTGCAAGGTGTCATTCTTATTTTACCAGAAAACAAATGGTTTTCATTTTACAATTATTGATCGTAATGGAAATAAACCGATGTTTATTTTAAAAAAACTGATACTTTAAACTTGACAAATAAACTTTAATACCCATATTCAAGTGCTTTTGTAATACTGGGGGTTGCACAATTTTCATACATTTCACGTGCACATATGCCACGTGCCAAAATGCAAGAAAGAGTTCCTCACATCAGCCACCAACCAAGTCTCAATAAAAAAATATATATAAAATAACAGAAATACAGCGACGACACATTATGTTGAACGTTAAATCAAATTAATTTCAAAGGTTTAAACGTCTCTCTCTGGGGTGTATTACAGAAAGCTGGGTTAATTAACCATCAGATTAACCCTAAACTTTGGGTTGATTAACCCAAAACCTGCTTACTCTGGGTATGTCGGTTCCAAAACACCTGTGTCGAGTTAGTTTAATCAACCTACTGCTAATAACCTCGAGTTAATGCGTATAACATATACATACAGAACATATAAAGGCATTTTCAATGGATCACCGAATTCAGTAGTCACCATGGAAACGAAGGGTGAAAAGTCACGTGCCGCGTACTTCTCTGAAGGTGAATTAGAAGTTTTAATGTTGGCTTATGAGGAGTTCAAGCCCATTATCATGAAAAAAGCAACACAGCTGCATATGCAAAGGAAAGACAATTGACTTGGCAAAAAATAACTGACAGAGTAAATGCGTACGTTTTTATTTTTTTACATTTTAAATATGCTCTCCTTTCTTTTGTTCATTTGCAAAGTTGAACAATTGTCTTTTTGAGCATGTGGCATGACTCGACAAGCGTGTACTTTTCTTTACATCAGTTTCTTAAGAATACAGTACAATGTACTCATGAAATATTTAGGCCTCTTGTTTTATAAGGTGTAATCCTTCTGGAGCCAAAAGAACCCTTTCCCAAGTCAAAATGAAACACAAAAACATTCTTCAAAAAGGTAATCTTTTATTTTAATTGTTTTAAGATCAATGTCTAAAGTTACTTTTACAGTATTCTTTCTATATAGCTAATAGAAAGAAGGCTGAGGCCCATCTAACTGGCGGGGGTCCACCTCCACCTCCTCTCACTCCATCGGAGGAATTGGCTCTTTCTCTTAATAAAGGTCGCCCTGTGGTCGATGGTATTCCAGAGGGCACATCGTCAGACTTTGCTTCCTCCCACAACAACTCAAGTGACTTGGTACAATGTAGGTATACCATAGTACTTATGATTATTTAATCATATGTTTGGACAAAACAATCCTTAACTCTTGTCATTAGAAAGAAGGCTAAATGCTTCCCAAATGCAGTCATTGCTTCACTTGTGCATTATGGATACATATTCTCTTTTACAGCATATGCCAGAAATCTGTTTTTATTCTTGCATGTTCCTAATGCCTTTATTCAGTGTCTGTCATACTTTAGTCATTTACACATTGAGTGTCTTTTTTTTCTTGCAGTTGCTGATGGACGCATTGTATTATTGGATCCTCCTGAAACCACACAGTCTGTCACATTTGTTAGTGATGCATTTTAAGAACCAGTTGCTTTTAGATCTTTCACTATGTCTGCCAGACAAAGTAACCTTGCATATTTCCACTCTAGGATGATGATGAAGAGACCACATCTGCTGTGACTTAATTAGAAAGTGCTGGGAGACCCACAGAGGTATGATGCATATATTGGACAATGCATAGCTTTTTAGATGGAGTGAAAAATGTGTAATTTTTCCCGTGACAGAATTTAGCTGGGGATGTAAATGCAGATGAGGGTCCATCTACCTCTACATCTAATCTTAGCAGTGTAAGAACTTGTCCCTGGTTGTCCATATCACATAATGTTACTATGGCTGATTTTCTTTTTTAACCATCTTATTTACTTTGCCTTCCTAGTTGTCTGCAAAGGAGCTGTATAAGGTCCATCTATTAAGGCAAATAAAAAAAAAGTGACATGGACCTTATACAGCTTCAGCAAGAGGAGAAAAGGCTGGCCATTAAAAAGGCCAAACTTGAAATCAAATTACTGGAGCATCGCCTTAAGGTGAGAATCATATGTGATTTTTTTCATGTGTGTATAAAGCAATTAAAGGGTTAGTTCACCCAAAAATGAAAATTCTGTCAGTATTTACTCACCCTCATGTTGTTCCAACCCCGTAAGACCTTCGTTCATCTTCGGAACACAAATTAAGATATTTAAGATATTAAGATCGCTCCTGCATACAGTCCATAGGCTTCTTGAGGGACTGGCTCTTGCTGTCCCCGAAAAGTCATTAAAGACATCGTTAAAATAGTCCAAGTGACTACAGGGGCTCAATCTTAAGTTTATCAAACGACGAGAACACTTTTGTGCGCAAAAAAAAAAAAAAAATAACGACTTTATTTCAACTATTCACTTCCTTCTCCATGAGCCTGTAAGTCAGTTAACGTAGTGTGATTGCGTAGAGCTACGTCACACGTAGGCTCACTATTGGCCGACGCTGGTCATGTGTGTGTGATGCGTCTGATGTACAATAACAGAAGCTTACGGTATTAAACTAGTAACCTGACTCGCGCAGAGGGAGAAATGAACGAATAGTTGAAATAAAGTCGCTATTTTTGTTGTTTTTTTGCGCACAAAAGTGTTCTCGTCGTTTGATAAACTTAAGATTGAGCCCCTGTAGTCACTTGGACTATTTTAACGATGTCTTTAATAACTTTTCGAGGACAGCAAGAGCCAGTCCCTCAGAAGCCTATGGACTGTATACAGGAGCGATCTTAATATCTTAAATATCCTAATTTGTGTTCCGAAGATGAACGAAGGTCTTACGGGGTTGGAACAACATGAGGGTGAGTAAATACTGACAGAATTTTCATTTTTGGGTGAACTAACCCTTTAATACAAATCTGTCATGTCTCTTTATTTCAGGATCTGGAGAAATAAAAGAAATTAAATAAAGTGATTTTGACAAATCATGTCTCTGAGCATTCTGCCATCTCTGTAGTCTGCTAGATTCATTGGGTGTTGTTCTAGGTCATCTTCATCAGGACAGGGGGGATGCCTCTCTCCTCTTATTGTGGCAATGTTGTGAAGTACCACACAAGCGACTGTGATGTCACATGCCCTATTTGGAGTGACCCTGAGCCCACGCAGACACTGAAACCTCGCCTTCAGAATGCCTATTGTCATCTCCACCTTGGCCCGTGTTCGGCTGAGAGACCGGTTGAAGCGTGTCTGTGGTCCGGGCTCAGGATCAGGGTAGGGTGTCATCATATAGGGGAGGCAATGGTATCCTCTGTCCCCCAGCAAGTAACCATAGAAGTGTCCTGTAATGTTTGAGGTGTTTTGTAAATGTAATAAAGACTACAAGCATTTGTCTAACAAAACGTACCCTGCTCAAATTTGTTGCACAGAGATGACTCTCTAAATATTCTGGCATCATGTACAGAACTAGGCCATTTTGCCTCAACATTAGTGATGAGGTGGGTTGCATCATATATTACCTGTGGAGAACAATACGTTTATTATTGGTAACCCCAATATTAAGTAACAAAAA